AAACTTTAATCTGACTTTAAAATTAAAAAAATATTTATGTTATATAGTAATGTATTATTGATTAAGCTAATAAAATAAATTAATACAAACCTAAAAGTAAATTATAATCCTCTACCCATATATCTCTGTCATTTCCAGTTAAAATTCCAACTGGTTTTGCTTCCACACATGAACGTTTCACAATGTCTTTAATAGAATTTACAAGCTTATTCTCACTAACAAGACCCAACTCATTAACAATGCAAAGTTTAAAAAACTGTAAAATTGATATACCTTAATATAACTTAATTTATAATTTATCTATCAGAAATATACATACATGATTGTTACTTATAATTATGATATGATTAGTTTCATCAGTATGTATAAGTTGATCAGTTCCCTTATTAGGTCGTCTATGAGTTCCAAGAATCATTCCATAAGGCTGCATATCAAGTGGAACATCACCACTCATTTCTTGTTTCATTTTACCACTTCAAGAATATATATTTATTCATAATGCACTTGATAAAAATTTTAATTTATTCCTTCCCAATTATTTCTGTAAACTGTATACCTCTTAATGAAATCATTATAATCAAGTACAGCTTTTATAAGTTGTGCGGCAAATACATATAAATCATTAGAACATTTGAAATCAATGTGTGGACCAATTGTTCCAGGGCTAGAATTTACAATTACTGGTGCTCTATACCCTAAATAAGCAGTATTCAACCACCAGTCACTCACCTAAATATTTATAAATATTTCATTTTTAATTTCTTAAATATTAAACATTTTATTTTTAAAATTAGTTGATAATAAATTTACCCAATTATCATTGCTTTCTGATTTCTTTAATAATTTCTTATGTAATTTGGAACCAATATTTTCATCTTCAATAAATTCATAAACAAGTTTTTGTGTTGCATTATATTCACTTTCATTAAGTAGTGGTTTCAATGATCTAAAAAAATTATTGTTATTATAAGTAAAATATGTTTAATCGCAATTGTGGAATAATTTTTTACCTTAAATAACGTTCAGCAGTATTTTTTAAATCTGGAATAGGTTGTTTAGGAAGTGGCTGTTTATTTAATTGCAGTGTTGTTATTGCTGCTGTAGGAACATTTATTGGAACATTTCTTACACATTTGCACATCTTTAATAAAATTAAATATTATTTGTTTGAAGTATTTGTTTATGCTGACTTTTAAAAAATAGAAAAACATAAGATACTTACAACAGATAAATTATGAATTAATTTCTTCATTACTGATTGT